TTCCAGGTTAATTAAAAGTCTAATTAGAGAAAAGCAAAACTTTTAAACATTTAGAAGAAAATGTAACATGTTTTATTTGGAGTAGGGAAAAGTTTCTTGAGTCACAAAAAGCACAAATCATGAGGGAAAGATCAATATATTTAATATTAAAATGTAAAAGTCTTGAATAGTATAAGATACCATATACAAAGTGAAAAGACAAGCCACAAGCTAGGAGAAGATATTCACCACCTGTGTAACTGAAAAAGATTAGTATTCTGAACCTTCCATTGATAAAAAGACAGCCCAGTGGAAAACGGGGAAGATGGTGCAAACAGGTAATTTACAGATGTAGAAACCTGAATGGCTGCTAAGCTTATAAAAGATGCTAAACATCTCTAGTAGCTGAAGAAATTAAAATGATGAGATGATAATTTCACACTTATCGAATTGACAAAAATAAAAAAGCCTAACAATAAATGGTATTGGCAAAGGTAAGGGAAAAGAATTTTCATACACTCCTGGTTCAATTAGAAATTGATGCAACCATTTTGTAAAGCAATTTTATAATAACTAGCAAAGTTAAAACTTTTGTTCCTAGATGTGGCCCCTAGAGAATCACACACATGCACAAGGAAATGTATAAGAAGACATAGATTATGTGTTTGTAAATGAAAGTTTGGAAACAACCTGAGTGTTCATAAGCAGGAGACTGGGTGGTAAATTTATACGGTAGAGTACTATAAAGCACTGACCTGGATGAGCTAGAGCAGGGATAGGCAAATCTGGCTTACTGCCTCTTTTTGTGAGTGAGTTTTATTGGCGCATAGCCACGTTCATTCCTTTACGTATTGTTTACAGCTGCTTTTGCACTGCAACAGCACAGAGAAGCAGTTGTGACGGAAACTGTACGATCCACAGAGCCTAAGATGAGTTACTGTCTGGCCCTTCACAGAAACTTGCCAGCCCCTGAACTAGAGCTACGTGTATTAAGTTGTGCAAATTTCAAACATAATGTTGTGTGAAAATAGCTTATTGCAGAATAATATGTATAGAGTTTGAAAACGCAGAACACCTCGATATATTATTTATAGACACCTACATGTGTAGTGATAGTATAAAATATGCATTACAATCCTAAACAACAAATACATGTAGTGCTTACATAGCCGAGGGAGGGAGGGGCAGAGGAGAAGGGAGATTATAGTGGGGGCTTCAGCAGTTTCGATAGGATTCTATTTGGCAAATGTGGAACAAGTAAAATGTTATGATTTAATATGTAACTGGATAGTAGGACATGAATGTGTATTACTTAACTATACCTTTTTGAACATTTAAAATATTTCATAATTTGAAAATTGGATAATTTGATCTCAGGTGATGTGTTAATAATGACGAATTAGTAAGATTTTAATTGCTGAGAATGCTCTAAATATTTTGTTTTCTAGCACAGATTTTTAAAGTACTTTGTGTTAAAGTGATAGAAATGGAAGATTTCAAACTTCAGTTTAATTTTACCAGGAATATTGTTTACATGTACAATTTATTGACAGAAAGGCACATAAGGATAACTAAGAAGAATGGCATGAGATTTTTTAGGTTTAGAATAATAATCAGGAAGGCTGAGGCCTGAGCTAGGATGTGCAGTATAAGCTAAGGACAGTAAAAGACCCTTTGTTCAAGAAACAAAGAAATATTTGACCCATTGCATGATTGTTAATCGTGTAGTTTAAAAATAACCGAAGAAAAGAAGAACTAGAAAATATATATTAAGGAAGAAAATACAACTGAGTATGCCAGTTTTAGTCTCAGCTCTGTCACTAACTAGCTGTGTAACCTTGCAGAGTCATTTTAACTCCTCGGGGCCTAGTTTTCTTAAGTATAATGTTGAAGCAGTTAGCTTGAATGCTCACAGTAGGCCCTTCCCACCTCTGATTCAATGTCTTGTTGACTCCTGTTTTCAATCCATTGTTTGTATCAAAAAAAATTATCTTCCAACATAAAAAGTAAATGTGGTAAAGGGGGCTTAAAGCTCAAGGTAGTTGAAGAGTTCCTAAACAGCACCTAGCCACTTTAGTTCATCTCTTCAGGCCAGGAAGTCCTGTCTCCAATCCAGACTGAACTATGTAGGGGCTTCAAACAGGCCAGTCTCTTACTTGGCTCAGAGTCTTTGTACCTGCTGTTTCTTTGTTCCCGCATACTCTCCAACTTTAGGTTTGCTCCTGTGGTTTATACTTACTGTTTTTTCCAGGAAGGCTTCCTGGAGTTGCTTAGGCAAACAGGTGGGTGGTGGAGCCTCTTACTGAATTTGCCAACACTGGAGAAGACCAGGCTTTGTGGGGAAACCTGGTGTGTTTTATTGTGGACTTGCAGTCCCATCAAGTGTCAGTTAAACATTCAGGTAGAAGTATGTAGTAGGTTCTTGAATATATAAATCTGGAAATTAGGAACAAGATCTAGGTTGAGAGTATAGATTTTGGAGTTATTGGCGTATATGTGGTAATTAAAGGAGGAGAAAGTAGACTGGAAAGAGAAGAATTCTTAGTGTGGAACTGAATCCTGAAGAAAACCAACAAGGTAGAAGGAAGGGAGGAGGAGAGAAGAAGATTGAAGAGTAGCCAGTGAAAATGGAGAAAAACTAGAAAAGTGTGACCTCCTGGAAGCCAAGCAGATCAAGGAGGATGAGGACTGTGAAACGAGTGTTCATTGGATTCAACAACAAAGTCATTGGTGATCTTGGCAAAAACACTTTGAGTGGGTTGATGAACCAGAAAGCCACAGATTGTAGCAAGATGAGGAGTAAGTTGGAAACAGTGACTGTAGCCAGTTGTTTCAAGCAGCTTTGCTCTTCGGGGAGGATAAAGTGAGGCTGTAAGGTCTCTTTGAGAGTTGTTTAATACTAATGGAAAGGAGCTTGGAAAGAAGGAAGGGCTGAAGATACAGGCACCAGGGCAGTTAACTGATGGAACTCAACTTAGGGAGTTGGCATGTCCACATGGAAGGATTACTTTTAGCAATGAAGGTGTTGTGACAGAAGAAATGAAGAAAACAAGGATGTGGATGCAGCTGAAACTTCCAATTTAGTGAACTTTTCTCCTCGTTGAAGGTGGAGGTAGCTATCTACCGACAGCAAGAGGGGTAGTAAGTAGTGTTTTGGTAAGTGGAAAAGGTTTGAAAAAGTTGCTGTGGAGAAGAGGAGAGAGAATAGCCTTGGAGAATAAAGAAAGATTCCTGATTAGAGACAGGAAAGAGTTTTACATTGGAGACAGGAACTTAGCGGTGGTACCATCTGCATAGCGTGTGATTTGTATTTCCTTTCAAGCAGCTCCACCCGCAGCCTAGATTGGAAGCCTTAGTGTTGGTATAGAGAAGGTGACTAACAGTTGGATTGGTCCAAGGTTGCCATTTTGCTCAGTAGATATGACAGAAGCATGGGACAAGGGTGTTGAGGAAGTTGGCAAGAAAATGGTTGAAGAGATAAACCAAGAAGTCTAGACCAGGGTTCAGCCACTTACAGATCTGGCCCACTGTCTGTTTTTTGGTTTTTTACATTTTAAATGTTTACATAAGTACCTACATAATATCCATAATATGCCTCTTGGCTTACATAGCCTAAAAAATTTATTGACTGGCCCTCTAAGAAAAAGTTTGCCAACCCCTTATTTAGACTAAAATAGGATTATAGTAAAAACACAATGGGACTAACAGATAGGCAGGAAATAGAGGATTCAAGAGACTGAAGGTCTCAATAAGGTCCACATATTAGGTACATTGGGACAACTGAGTGAGAGACCCAGAAAAATAGGAGATTGTAGTGAGAGGATTGTGAATTAAAGATTTCAGAGTTGGGACAGCTGTGAGTGATAACCAGGTCCAGCTTGTGGTTGCGGTAGTGGGCTCCAAAGTAGAGGGTCTGTGACTGTCAGTGGAGTTGAGGTCAAGAACTGAGAGTCCAGGTGGGGATAGTAAAGTCACCCAGGAGGTGAAGGAAAGGAAGACTGGGAGCATGCCATTCAGTTTGCCAGTTTGGGATGGGATATGATAAATAACAGAATCAAGTATTCAGCCCCTGAAGGTGAGGGAAACCCAAATGGAAGGCCACTCATATGTTAAAAAAAAAGCCATGGCATTTGCTTAAACAGGAGCCAGCTGTGTGGAAGAAGTGGCTAGTGAATAAAATGGCTCGTTGAATGTTAGGCTGCGTTAGTAAATGGAAGCATAACCAAAGGAACTTGAGACCGTGAACTGGAAACAAGTTCCTAGGGCTTTCAGGTGTCTTACTGGTTATTCATTTAGAAGAAGGCAGCTTCCTATTGTTCTCTAGGTCTGGAGGGCAGAACCAGCAAAAATTTGTGGAAGTAGACTTCAGCTTTCCTTCAGTGCTTTAGGGACATAATCAGCATGACTGCCTTCATCACTGGAGGTCGTTCTTACAGGAAGAACAGCTAGGTGGTAGGGCTGTTAATTAACTTCCTCATAAATGACCTTCACTTCCTTTCTAATCCAGATTCTGTGATAATACAACTATGATACAATTTTCTCTGAAATATAAAAAAAAAATTTATGCTATGAAATATTTATGTCAGTGGATAGCAGTGTTTTATCTGTGGGCCTGAAGTCTGAATAAAGTAAGGCAGAAGTATGAAAAAGTAAAAGGCTGCCCACTTTCCCTCACGTAAAGAAATAATGGCAAAAGGAGGGGTCCACACAGATAAACAACATAACAACAAGGAACATTGCTCATTTTTGTAGCCCTGCAAAGTCCCTGCAACAGAGTTGGTGTTCATGGTAAATAAATGAGAAGGAATTAGAGGTTAAGAATCATGTGTGAATTAAATGAAGCTTTTGCTACGCGATCCTGGGGCTTGTGCAGTAATGCCTCACATGCAGTGAGCTCTCAGCAAATTTTTTTTAATAGAAATCTTCCATTTCTATAATAGCATAACCTGTACCTTTAGGCAGAACTTGAATTTAATGTGTTGTTTTGCGTGTGTGTATGTGTGTGCTTGTTTTTTGAGTAGTTGATGGATTTACAACTGAGCGACAGTAACTTTCGTCGACACATCCTGTTGCAGTATCTCATTTTATTCCAGTATCTCAAGGGGCAGGTCAAATTCAAAAGGTAAGTTCATATGGGTAGTAAATGATGTATAAACAGCAGCAAAAAGAAGGACTTGCTTATTGACATATTTTTCTTATATATTGGGCTCATTTTATGTGTAAGAGCCACATCTCTGAAACATTTCTTTTGCAGCAATACTAGATAATCAGGAGCTTTTGTTAGAGATACCAGACGTTAAGATACTTGTTTTAGAGAAAAGATGTTGGATATCTCTGCTGTCAGTGGCAGGTCTCTGCTCCGGGATTCCCTCATTCTCTTCTCATCTTGCTCAGACCTTCTCCAAACCTGATTTGCAAACTAAGCCAATAACACTTCTCTCCCAAGGTGTGGAGCTGTCTAGGACATTAGAACTGAAAAAACTAAAGTAAATCTTTGAAGTACGGAGGAGTTCCAGTTTCTTTGGTGCTCCTTTCTATCTGAATAGCTCCACCTTTAGCAGAGACCATTCCTCCTGTCCTGTCCATAATTGAAGTAGAGTTCACTGTTACTTGATGGTATTTTAAGTATGCAAGACAGTTTATGCAGTATTCATGTATTATGTTGTATTAGTTGTATAAAGAATGTGGCTTTACTACCTGCTGGTTTTGAATCCCTCTTTTATCACTCACTAGCTGTAATTCAGCCCTTTCAGACTTGTAATTTTAAGATAACATGTAGCAAGCACTCAAAAATGTTATTTCTTATCCTCCAATTATTGTGGAAGTTTTAGTAGAAAGATCAAGGACTTTGGGGCCAGCCCTAGGTTTGAATTCAAGCTTTATGGCCTTGGTCAAATCATGGAGCCTCTGGAGTCTGTTGAATATGCACACGTCCTTGTTCTCAGAAGTAAACAAATAATGCATGTAAAGTGCCCAGATCCTAGCGCATGATAGTCCATAAATATTTATTGGAGGGGGGCCGGTCCCATGGCTGAGTGATTGAGTTCATGCGCTCCGCTTCGGCGGCCCGGGGTTTCGCAGGTTTGGATCCTGGACGCAGACATGGCACTGCTCATCAGGCCATGCTGAGGTGGCATCCCACATAGCACAACCAGAGGCACTCACAGCTAGAATACACAACTATGTACTGGGGGGCTTTGGGGAGAAGAAGAAGAAGAAAAAAAAAGAAGATTGGGAACAGATGTTGCCCAATCTTTAAAAAAAAGGTCCCAGTCTTTAAAAAAAAAGTGATTGGATGGGTACAAAGCACCTAGTCCATAGTGAGAGCTGAATTAATGGCAGCTATTAACAGTTTGGGTCTCTCTTCAGCCTTCTCTAAGGTTTTGGGTTTTTTATTCTTTGTATTTTGAATGTGTTTTAAAGAAATATAGCATGCCTTATCTGAATGTGCATCATGTAGAGGAATATTAATATTGTCTCAGGCTCACATCTCACATTAAACTTCTTATTTTAAGAAACATTATTGCTCTGGGGGGCCGGCCCGATGGCACAGCGGTTAAGTTCACACGTTCCGCTTCTCGGCAGCGTGGGGTTTGCCGGTTCGAATCCCAGGTGCAGACATGGCACCACTTGGCAAAAGCCATGCTGTGGTAGGCATCCCATGTATAAAGTAGAGGAAGATGGGCATGGACGTTAGCTCAGGGCTGGGCTTCCTCAGCAAAAAGAGGAAGATTGGCAGTAGTTAGCTCAGGACTGATCTTCCTCAAAAAAAAAAAAAAAAAGAAACGTTTATTGCTGTGTTCATAGTTAATCAGAATGATTAATGGAATGTTTTTCTCCTTTATACACCTTCATGTCTTCAATTCTAACCATCTTATCTTGAGGATGAAGTGCAAAAACTTTATCTTATTATCCTCTCATTTGCAATTATTCTTGGTAATTTTTGACACTGTTTACACTATGGCTGACTTACTGTTACATACCTTGTGTTTTTTCAAGACAGTACATAAACCTTAGAATTGAATATATAGTGCTGTAACTCAAGCATGCTTTTATTGCTTTGTTCCCCAGTTCAAACTATGTTTTAACTGATGAGCAATCACTCTGGATTGAAGATACTACAAAATCAGTTTATCAAGTAAGTTCAACCTGCAACAAACCTATGATTGAACAAAATGGAAATTTAGAATTTTCTTTGTTTCAGCCCCAAATAGGAAAATAAGGATAAAGTTAAGCTCAGGTACAAGACCACAAACACTTCTTGGTTCTCTGCCTACAAACCACTCCTATGATGCAGAACGTTGTTGAAAGCTTAGTATATTCTTTCTAATCACAGCTACTATCTGAAAACCCTCCTGATGGAGAAAGATTTTCAAAGATGGTAGAGGTATGTGTTCTATATTTACATAGTCTTCTTAGCACCAAATAGAATTTCAAAGGCTTCCATTGTGCAAATGTAATTTCTTTGTTTTTCCCAGCATATATTAAACACTGAAGAAAACTGGAACTCATGGAAAAATGAAGGTTGCCCAAGTTTTGTGAAAGAAAGGTAAATATATACCCATCTCAAGAAATATGAAAAAGGCATTTCAAAATATAGTTGGACATGATTATTTTTACATTATGTACAGATATGTGTATATGTATTTCATTAAAAAAAGTAAGTTGAACTCTATAAGAATAAAACCACTTTGATTTACTTCTGTTTGAATTTTTTACTTCAAATTTCTTGTTATTAAGTTCCCAGAGCAAACTGATCTATTATTAATTATTGAAAGAAATGCTATATACTCACTCCGTAATTTGCCCCTGGTGTGGCATTTGTCTCTTCTCTCTCATGAGTGTTCTATAGTAATATGAAGCTTTCATCTTTTCTTAGGAAGAAAATAACTAAATTTTCTCTTACAATTAAACACTCTTCCATCTCTGCTGTCCAGTTGTAATTCTATTGTTTTCACCACAGAACATCAGATACCAAGCCGACAAGAGTAGTACGGAAGAGAACGGCACCAGAGGACTTCCTAGGGAAAGGACCCAACAAAAAGATTCTGATGGGAAAGTAAGTTAAACCATCTCCATATGTGGGATGCTATTAGTTATTTTTATATTTTGAAGACGTTACAATAAGCACTCTCCAGTTTTTGTGTTTTTCCAGCTTTTTTGTGTGTTTGGTACATACTGGTACTAAAGCAGACCACACCCTATCTATCTATAGAGCCCATTATATGGGTTCATGCAACTAGACAAACTTCCGTTTTGTCTCCTGCTTCCAAAATCCATGGCTCTAGGCTGTGCCATTTTTCCATGTTACAGACAAAAACAATTGCTGTTAGATTGATCCAGCTCACTTCTAGTTGTTGCAAGGTACTATAATCCTTGAATTTCTCTTGCGTGCCAGCTAACTATTCATTGCTCTAGACTGGGTTTGAATATTTTTAGGAAAAAGTAATGATGATGGTATAGTGGTTAAGTCCAGTATGCTCCGCTTTGGTGGCCCAGGTTCACAGGTTTGGATCCCAAGCGTGGACCTAGACCACTCATCAAGATATGCCGTGGCAATGACCCACATACAAAATAGAGGAAGACTGGCACAGATGTTAGCTCAGGGTTAATCTTCCTCACCAAAAAAAAAATTAATGATTATTGATTATCACTAAATATATGCTGATATAAAAAATTTGCTAAATACCAAAAATAAATGTAGAAGAAAATGAAAACTCATTCTGTCACCACCCAAAAATCCACTATTTATTTTAAGTATTTTTACAGTTTTAAGGCATTTGAGGATGATGTCCATAAAAAAATGTATTTATTTATGTGTCTGTCTATTTTGTAGTGAGGAATTAACAAGGCTTTGGAATCTCTGCCCTGATAATATGGAAGCCTGTAAATCAGAGACAAGGCAAGTTTAAAATGTTTCACATGACGTGTTGCTTTTCTCAAATGTTAAGTAGAGTGGAATGGAGCCTTTTGTCAGCTATAAGCAGAGCTCAAAAGAAATTTAAGTTTATTGTGGTTGCCTTTGGCACAGCAGAATATGACTTCCTACCATAAAACACCTAGAAGTGGTGATAAATAATTGTAGAAAATAAGGATTCACCAAAAAAGAGGGAACTAAAACTTGAAGTATGAATGATTCTCACTTTTGGGAACCAGGGAAGTGAGTTTTAACAGCCACAAAAGGACAAAACATAAGGCCTTAGACCTGCACGAATTTGTAACTGAGTTTCCCCTGAATAAAGGTGAGGCCCTTGACATACTACACTATCTGTAAAAGAAGGGCAGAGTGGGAAATGGAGGGACTTGCTCGCTGGCACAGGAAACAAGGAAGCTTGTCCATTTCTACCTGCAGTGTGAGTGAAAAGGAAAAATATTCCCTGAGAAAGTATAACCACAAGTCTGCTGTAATGCAGTCTTGCAGTTTAAATTTATGGTAGCAGCAGTATAAAGGAACCCCCAAGCTAAGGGGGTGAGCTAAAGAAGTCACAGGCTGGTGTTAGAAAGCCTTCTGCAGGTCATACGTTCAACCTAAGCCACACAAGGATTCTACAAATAAAAGTCCAAAGATAAATTCACCATCCAAACTTAAAACATTCAAGAAAATAATCTACCATGAGTAAGAATCAACAGATAGAACAAGCAACAGAAGTTAGACAGCCTCTTCGGATAATAAAACCATCTGATAAAAGGCTTAAAATAAGTACATTTAAGATAATTAAAGACATACAAGAAGGAACTGAAAATAAGAGAAAGGAACATGACACTCAGAAAGGACCAAGTGAATCTGAAAAATATATTTCTAGCAATAAGAAAATATAGTCATTGAAATTACAAAATTTAGTAGGCAGGTTAAATAGCAGACAAGGCACAGGTGAAATAATAATAAATGATTAAGAAATCTACCCAGAAAGCACTACAGAAGGATCAAGAGTTAGAAAATATGAAAGTAAGAGTCAAGAACCGCAGAATGAGGAGGTTGAAGAAATATCTAATAAAGAAGGAAATAACAGAGAATGGGAAAGAGGCAGTAATCCAGGAGATAAGGACTGAGAATTGTTTAGAACTGAGAATAGGCATAAATTCTTAAGCTCAAGAAGTACAAGTCTTAAGTAGGATAAACAGAATAAATCCATATCTCTACACATTGTAATAAAGTCACCAGAGAGAAAAACCAGACCACCTGCAGAAGAGCAGACTGAGAAGCAGACCTCAAGAACAAAAAAAACCAGAAGACAGTGGAATGACAGCTTCAAAGTGTTGAAAGCCTCAACCCAGAATTCTATAATAAATTAAACAGTGGGTCAGTCAAGAGTGATTGAGAAATAAAGTTACTTTCAAACTAAAACTGAAAATCTACCATCATCGGTCCTTACCAAAAAAGCTTCAGAGAGAAACTGAACCCAGAAATCATGAGTAAGCTGCAAGAAGGACTGCTATGCAAAGACGCTGGTAAACATGAATAAATCTGATCAAGAACTCGCTGTATGAAACAGTAATAAGTACTAATTGGGAGTTATTTAAAAAGATGGAACTAACATACTTAATAAAAGTGACATGTAATACAAGAAGGAGTGATCAGAATTAAAGAATGTTCCAGATGAAGATGGAGATCCTGAATAACTAGACTTGAAGTAAAGCATGCTTGCTAACTAAGTGTGTGAAAGAGAATAAACGAATTGAGGAAAAAGGGAAATACAGAAGATTCAAGCAGTCAAATAAAATACAGAAGGCGGCACATAAAAAACAAGTAATAGCATAAAACAATATAGTGAAAATAAATTCAAATATATAATAACAATAAATGTAAATAGACTTTCTGGTTCAAAGACAGAAGATGGTGTTATATTTTAAAAGTTCATCTATATGTTATTTACAAGAAGCACCTTAAAAAATAAAGATGGGGAACAGTTGAAACTAAAAGAATAAAATAAGATGTAAGAGGCGTAGTTATATTGATATCAGACAGAAGAGTGTTAAAGGCTTCTAGAAGGCATTATTAAAAATAAAGACAGTCAGGGCCGGCCTGGTGGCACAGCAGTTAAGTTTGCGTGCTCCACTTTGATGGCCCAGGGTTCACCAATTCGGATCCCAGGTGCAGACCTACACACTGCTTATCAAGCTATGCTGTGGCAGGCGTACCACACAGAAAAAGATAGAAGAAGACAGGCAGAGATGTTAGCTCAGGGCCAATCTTCCTCAACAAAATTAAAAAATTAGAAAAATAAAGACAGTCAATGCATAAACAAAGGGAAAAATGCATCAGAAATATATAGATGTTCTAAACTCTATTTCCTAAGAATGTAGTCTCAACTGGCAGCATTACAATCAGAAATTGACCAATCCACTCACGAGCAGAAGAATTTTGACACTTATACTAAGTGTTTACTAGAATTTTGATACCAAATAATTTCTCAGTATTTAAGAAATCAGGTAGGAAAAACTTAGTATATTTAGGATTTAACAAGACAGTTAACAGGCTTAGTTATACAGAAAACACAAATTCATTTAAATTATACATGAAAAACAATAAAATACTTTAAAAGCTTTAAAGCACTTCTGAATAACTCCTGAATCAAAGAAAAAAATCATAACGTAAATTAGAAAACATAGAACTAAATGATAATAAAAGTACTGTATATTTAAACTGTTGGGATCTAACTTCAGTAGAACACAGAAGGAAACTTATGACCTTATGTGTTTATAGATTTTAAAAAATCTGAAAATTAAGAGTCCAGCACTGGGAGAATAACAGAGTAAAATCATAGCAAGTAAAATAAAATTAGAAGTCAATAAAATAGCAAACAAATAATAGCATCAACAAAACCCAAAAGATTTTTTTAAAGAGTAGGACAATAAATTGCTAGCAAGATAGATAAATAAAATTAGATTTCTGCCAAATCTATGAGGAAAAGTCAACCCAGTAGAAAACTGGACAAACGAATAGATAATTTCAGAAGTGAAAACCTTAATAAACCTATGAAAAGATGCTCAACTTTGTTGTAACCAGAAGTCCAGATAAAAACCACAGGGGCCAGGGGCTGGCCCCGTGGCCGAGTGGTTAAGTTTGCGCACTCCGCTGCAGGCGGCCCAGTGTTTCGTTGGTTCGAATCCTGGGCGCGGACATGGCACTGCTCATCAAACCACGCTGAGGCAGCGTCCCACATGCCACAACTAGAACGACCCACAACGAAGAATATACAACTATGTACCGGGGGGCTTTGGGGAGAAAAAGGAAATAAATAAAATCTTTAAAAAAAAAAAGCAAAAAAAAAAACCAAAAAACCACAGGGGCCGGCCCAATGGCGCAGCAGTTCAGTGTGCACGTTCTGCTTCTCGGTGGCCCGGGGTTCACCAGTTTGGATCCTGAGTGCGGACATGGCACCGAGTGGCACGCCATGCTGTGGTAGGTGTCCCACGTATAAAGTAGAGGAAGATGGGCACGGATGTGCGCTCAGTGCCAGTCTTCCTCAGCAAAAAGAGGATTGGCAGTACTTAGCTCAGGGCTAATCTTCCTCAAAAAAGAAAAACCCACAGCAGGCAGTTTCACAGCCAAGAAATTTAGTAATTTAGAAATACCAAGATTTTGTAAGAATTGGGGATAAAAATAATTTGCCAGTGCTGCTAGTTAGAGCCTAGAATTGGTCCTGCCACTTTGGAAGGCAATTTGGCAGTAACTGGGTAGAGATGTGCACATTATAAGTCCTAGCATTTCCGTTCCTGGGTATACTGATTCTAAAGTAGTTCTTTTAAAACTCAGTTGAGAATGGTGGTTTGTGAAGTGAATTTAGTAATTGCAGCCAGCATTCTTTTTTTTTTTTTTAGTGAAATATACTTTTGTGAAACATTAGCTTTACTTATGTCATACACATACTTGCATATATGTAAGTGTATTGCGTTGCAATATAAAGTGAATTTCCTACTGTGGGTTGCAGTGGAAGTTTGAAGGCAGTAGTGTCTAAAGAAACACTAGTTCATCTGCACAAGGAGACAGGTACAAGAGTTTGTTTAGCATTGTCATAGCAAAAATTGGGAAAACCACCTTTTATCAAGAGAATGGATAACGTGTAGCATGTTCTTGGAATGGACTACTCTTATGTTAGCACACTAGAATAAGGATGAGGACTACTGTATCATCAGAGGCCTACTTTGGAAAAATTCGGGTTGTAGAAGAGTACAAGCAGGATAGAGTTTGAAAAAGTTCAAAACAATAATGTATTTAATTAAAAAAAAACAAACAGGAATGATAAATGCCAAATTCTGAACAGAGGCTACCTCTGGGGAGAGGGGAGAACGGGATTAAGGAGAGGTGCAGGGGCACTCTCAGTTGTATTTGTAGTCTTTGGAAACGCCTGGGATGTTCATTACATTAGTCCTGATTGCTTGCAATATATAGTCATTTTAAAACTAGCAAACGGTTCCACACATTTGTGAATGATAGTCTGGTTGGGATTTTAGTGTGAGCCCTGTTTTGTCTAGTGTGATAGATAGAAGAAAAGAGTGGTGCTAAACTCAAGAAACTTACAGGCAGGCCTGTAATGTTTACTGATTAGAGCATGTTATTGTAATGAAAGTCATAAGATTTGATGCTTGATTTTTCTTTAGAGAGCCCATTTTTCTCATTTTAGTCAAAGATGTCTTCAGATCCTTGGATCTTAATTATTTGCTTGACTGTATCAAAATTTTATTTCTAAAAACAAATTCAAGACAGATGCAACTAAAAACCTGCTGTGCTACCATGGAACAATCTAAAATAAGCTCAAAGTTAAAACTCTTGAAATTCAGTATGGTCTGGTTATTAGTTTTGGTTTAATTCTGGTTTAAAGAAAAAAAAATCTATGGATCTGGACATGATGTGAAAATTTCCTGCTTGCTGATGAAATTCTATGCTATGAAACCTCTGGCTGCCCTCTGACCAGTAACAATCATCACACATTACAGTGTAATAGTACAGTGCATGTTACATTACATAAAGTATAATATATAATATGGTGTAGTACCATACTTCCCCCTCTTTATTGCCCCCTTTGAGAAGTTTAGTTTTGAGCCATTTACCTACTTAAAAATCTGAGTTCCTAAGTAATCTAACTGTAACTCAAGTGTGGGTAACAGAATCTTTTACTGCTACAATTTTATGAGTATTTATTATTAAGACCATGCATGAGCCTCATTAGTTATTTTTTACTGCCCAGGGAATACATGCCAACTTTAGAGGAATTCTTTGAAGAAGCCATTGAACAGGCAGACCCTGAAAACATGGTTGAAAATGAATATAAGTAAGTAATGTTTCTCATGAGCTAATTTTCTCCAGTATTTTTCTTAGGAATTGTATGTATACTAGAATGCTTATTAAGGGAGACAGTACATAGTACTTTTCCTCCTAGGTGAGTTTATATACCAAGTTCACATTACTACACATCCTGATTTCAGTGACCATTCCCATTGACTAACAAGCAAGACTTAGAATCATACTTGTTTCAAAAAATAAGAAAAATCCCCCTTGAGCCCACATCTCCCTCCAGGTATCACCTCTTTTCTCTGTTCCCCATAAAATCACAGTATCTCCCAACAGTCCTTAATTACTGCCTTCATTTCCTCACCTCCCATTATCTCATCAGCCCATTCCTGCTGGGCTGTCTCCCCATCACTCCACTCAAACAGCCCGTTGAGGTCACTTCATTTTTTGACTTTCAGCAGCATTCGCCATTTGATCTCTCCCTCCTTAGATAACGTTTTCTTCTCACTATACTCTCCTGTTTTTCCTTTTGCCTCACTGTGTTTCAGTCTCCATTGCTGGCTCCCCATCCTTTGCGTGACTCAAATTTTGGAGTAACCTCAGGACTCAGTCTTAGCTGCTGCTTCATCTAAATCTTCTAGGTGACCCCACACAGCCCCATGGTTTTCAATAGGCATCATGGTGTAGTGATTTGAGGGTCCAATCCTGGGATTCTTTACCACTTACTGGCTAGGCTACTAGAGCTAATTTAACCCCTCTCTGCTTGTTTCCTCATCTGTTAAATAGTAAAGGTACCCATTTCACAGGGTTATTCTGAGGATTAAGATGGTTCACTTTGAACATGCATTGCATGTAATTAGCACTCAGTGAAAACAGTGCTGTGACTAGAATTACGAGTTACAGTTTCTGTGACCTCTTAACTTGGGACTTTCTGGTCAGTCTCCATGTCTCAGCCAATGCTCTTTAAATTCACAAGTCAGATCTTCTGCTTGAAATCTTCCAGTGACTGCCTATTAAAATTAGGAGGAAACCCAAACTCCTTACTGGGGCCTAAAAGACCTCCCTGATCTGCCTCATACCTACCTCTCCAACCATGTCTTGTCTTTGGCTCATTTTCTTTCCACTCTAACCATACCAGCCCTGTTTCTGTTCTTCAACACGAAGGTTTTTCCACTTCAGGACCTTTGCTCTTGCTATTGGGTTTGCTTGACACTGCCCCCAATGTGTTCCCGTGGCTTGCTCTCTCACTTCAGCTCTCATCTCGGATGTTGCCTCAGAGCAGTTTTCCCTGACCAGGCAGCTCTTCCTCTCTCCCCCTGTACTGCAGTCCTGTTGTATTTCACAGCATGTATCGCCATCTGAAATTCTCATTCCTCGTGTTTTTCTCTTCCTTACCACTCTCTGAAATGGTCTTAGATCTTGTGTTTATCAATAATGATGCTTGCCAACACATTCCACATTTATTGTGTCAGATACTTCCTACCTCTAAGGTAGAAACTGTTCTTATCTCCATTTTACAGTTAAGGAAATTGAGGCAGAGGATAAATAATTCACTTTACTTCTCAGCTAGTAAATGGCGAGCCAGGAAACAAACTGTGGCGTCAGGGGCCCTGCTCTTAACTACATTGTAGTGCCTCAGGTGTTCAGGGTGCACTCACGGTCTCCAGGACACGACGCCTGAGTGCCCAGCTCGGCAAGTGTTTGTCAAATAAATGGTTGATTTATCATGGTTAGATAAGACAAGGTGGATTCATTCTTAAAAGTAACAGTTCTCTAAAATTGCTTTAAGAACTTGAATGGTGTGGATCTCTGGAGAATAAGGAAGTTTTTATGTACAATTGACAGGGAATTCTAAAAATGCTTAAAAGATTCAAATTGTTTAAAGAGAAATGTGTCAGAGAGGAAGACTCGTAACTGTTTAGCAAAGCCTCATAGCATAATGTTAACTTAGTAAGAATCTCCACTGTCTAGGGGTCATTTCACCTGTACCAGCACTGCTCAAAGGTAATGAGGCTCATTTATAAGACATGACTAAGTAAATCAGGTTCCTACTCTGAGAACTTGGCATGGACTTCCAAATGACTTGCAAAAACTCATAAATGAAATAAATGTGTGTTCTGGATTCTTCTGCAGCTTGCCATTTTCCAGAACATCAGCTTTAGAATTTCTCTGAGGTTTCCGTTTCTCACCTTACTGTGTACCGCCTGTTATTGCTGTGCTTCCTTAAGGAACAGTTCATGAATTCTGTTCTGGGCACTGCTTACCGTGTTGGCTACTGGATGTTTCCCTTTTAGTTTTGGAGCCATTTTCATTCATCGAGGTTGGTATCGAGCAAATTAAAGTTTAGGTGTTACATAAACCGAAAACCAAATATTGATTGAATTAACATGATTGAAACTCAGGGTTGCATTTATAAAATATTATGAAACACACCTGCAGGTGACATTGCCAGCATGGGTATTAACTTACTAGACATAGTGAATCTATTATAAAGGGTTTTTTCCCTAAATAACTAAGTGGATGATTTCTGTCCTGAATATACAGCATCTAGGCAGTACTAGACACATTCTAATGGACTTTTTAAAAGTTAAGTAAAATGTATGTAAACTTGTAAAATGTGTTTCCTGCCTATGAATCTGCCTCTTCAGATTCTGTTGGTTTCTTATTATTTATAAGTGAACTATATACTGAGAGGTTCTTTAGGACTAGGATCAGAATGAAAAGAATGGTGCCTTCAGCTACTTACCTTAGAGTAAAGAATTTCACAGTGAATTACATTAACTAGAATAGAATATAGAAATAAAGACTATAAATTACAAGACTGACCTCTTTTTTTATAGGGCTGTGAACAATTCAAATTATGGCTGGAGAGCCCTGAGACTGTTAGCACGGAGAAGCCCTCATTTCTTCCAGCCAACCAACCAGCAATTTAAAAGTTTGCCAGAATATCTCGAAAACATGGTAATAAAGCTAGCCAAGGAATTACCAGTAAGTAATATAAATCAAATTTTTCATATCCCTTAGTTGACATTGTCTTCTTTAAAACTGCTATCACTGTTTGAACAAAGAGCTGAATTTAGTTTATCACGTGAAAAAAAGTAATGCTCCACAGACCTCCATGTTTTAGAATGAGGAAAAAATGCATCTGAGTATACATTTATAGGAAGTACATAAGTTCATAAAGTAACTTTAATAATTTCTTATACAGCATACAATTTAATATAAGTCCACAATACTTTCGATAAACTATTATCATTTTTCCTGTTTGCCAATGCATTATATCGTCTTTTATCAAAAACAGGGTCTAAGGGGTAACAGTAGGCAACTTGGCCTATCTTTCTACTGTTCTCTTTTCTAGTACAACTTTCTCATTATATTACTACAATGTGATAATAACTATACTGTGTGCATAAAATTACTCAGAATTTTTTAAAGACACAGTTGTGCTCCCCCAGTCTTGCCTAGACCATTGTTACTCTATGCTAGGTATTTGCCAATCACCTTGCCATACTTTTTACTGGCTCCCTTCTTCTCAGGTCCGGGGCAAGGGGAGTCTTTCCAACTCAGGTCTTCCCCGTCCATTCCTTCTCCAGGTTAACACTGTCACATTTTTGATCCAGACCTGACATTCACATGACCACTCTCAGGGGTAAAGTTCTGGGCCCTGTTCTTGGACTCTCACAACCACTCTTATCTAAACAAAAAGTAGCTCCAGTTATCTTAGTTTAGAAGTTGGCATTCTTTTAAACCTTCCTCTTATTCATTTTAGCCTCCTTCTGAAGAAATTAAAACAGGTGAGGATGAAGATGAGGAAGATAATGATGCTTTACTGAAGGAAAACGAAAGTAAGAATTGAATTTTCTTGGCTATTTTACAAAATTGGAAAAGATGGGGGTTCTTGGTTGAGAGGTACGTTATTTGATCTACTTCTCAACTTCTACCGTTTATCTCAGCTCTGTTTCTTATAGTGAGGAATTCAAAACATTGCTTGACAATAACTTTTGAAATATTACATTTTATACAATAAAATTTGGAAGCATTAGGAAGGAAAGTACTTATATTTGAAGGGGACTCATACCTCTGTTAATTCTTGGGGAGGGAGTTGAGGGGAGCAGCTGGTTTCAGGGGAAGCCTTCATAATTATAATGGAGGCAACAGCTTTAGCTTTGATTATTGATTTCCTAATGATCATGATTGTAAGAACAGTATTCAACCCATGAAAAATATAAAAAAGGAATTGTTCTACTTTAATATCTCAGTGGCCCCATATCTTCCCAGTTGTTGTATACCTTGAATTGTACATGTCCTGGTACTTGGTACATAAGTGACATTTCCTGTGTTTTCTAGGTCCTGATGTTCGGCGAGACAAACCTGTAACAGGTGAACAAATAGAAGTATTTGCCAACAAACTGGGTGAACAATGGAAGATTCTGGCTCCCTACTTGGAAATGAAAGACTCAGAAATCAGACAGATTGAGTGTGACAGCGAAGACATGAAGATGAGAGCTAAGCAGCTACTGGTTGCCTGGCAAGATCAAGAGGGAGTACATGCAACACCCGAGAATCTGATTAATGCACTGAATAAGTCTGGATTAAGTGACCTTGCAGAAAGTCTAACTAATGACAATGAGACAAATAGTTAGCTTCTTTTTTTTTTTTATTAAAACTGTGATGATAAGATTTTGTTACCAAGCAGCATTTGATAAGAGGTCCACTGGTTTTGGTAAACAATAAACATTTTTATAACAATTGTACAGTTGGCTGGTGCTCCAATAACAACAGAATGCATATTGGCTCTTGATAACTGACCTCAGGGTTTGGAGGGAGGAGGGAGTAGGTTGGGAGAATGGCCTAAATAAAGTGACCTGAAGGTCACATAATATATTTTTGTTAAATAAATTAAATGTATTTATAATGAAGTCAAGAAGCAATATTCAGGAGCATGATATTTCCTAAGGTACACCACGCCAAATTAGTTTCCTACATGCTGTTAGTACTTTTAACTTGCTATTCGGAAAATCCCAGAATGGGACTTTCTGAAACCATATGAGTGCTCTAGTCTCACTTATTTATACTTTAAAAGCAGAGGATCAGCAAACAGTGGTCCGATCACCACCTGTTTTTGTAAGTACAATTTTATCAGCACACAGCCATGCTGATTCTCTTAAGTATTGTCTATGGCTCCTTTCATGCTACAACAGCAAAGTTAAGTAGCATAAAGCAAAGAGACTTTATGGGCTGCAAAGGTTAAAATACTTACTATCTGGCCCATTACAGAAAAAGGTTTGCTGAGCCCCAACTTTAAAAGAAATGGGACCTAGTTCTTCTAGCCTTACAAAAATTATTCAACCTCTCAAGTCGTTAAAATAGGGATGCATACCACAGGGATTGTTGTGAAGGTCAAATGAGATGTATGTGAAAGCACCCTATAAACAGCAAAGCACTATGTAGTAATGGCTGGAGACAGTATCCTCTGTCTTTTTCTCTTCCCACATAAGCATTACCCTTTAGGGCTCTAAAATTAGGCTGCCATTGTTTTGAATCCTGAAGAAGGGCTACTAGTTGCATGTCACGCTATAAATGTTCTTGCTTGGGCTTAACTTCACCAGCTGGTCCAACAGTGATACAGCTCAGCTCTAATACAGAAAGGGCCTCAGTGCTAGTGGCACAGCATGTAAGGCACACTCAGGAATCAAGTCGTCTTCTTGCCTACTTGCCCTTCTCAGACCTTATATGCAAGGTTAAATTCTAAAATAGCCTTATTAGTTTAAAACAACACTGGTATAAGTCCAATTTCTTATACTTAAAAAATCTTTGGAATAATGCTTTTTTGGATCAAGGTTTTTTTTATAATGACAAAGAATTACAATTTTAATTCTAATTACATACAAGGTTTACATACTTTGTTCTAAACCTACCTCACCTGATCCAGTATTTACAGCATCCTACAAATCAGAAAATCTGAATTCTGATTACTAAATTTATGTCCTCAGAATTGTTCAGACCAAATAAGACAGTGAATAAAAAAAAAACTCTGCAAACTTACAAGCATCATACGAATATATAAAAAAGAATCATTACAATTCTTATGGTCTCATCCTTCCCCAAGGCAAAGGGAGTACTGATTGCCAATAATTAAAGTTTAGCTGAAGAGGATATTAACAAATAAATTTCCCTGAAATGCTTGTTTTATCCGCTATCGTTCTCAGATTATATCACATTGTTCAAACTTGAGGAAAATGGCCATTATTCTCTAGGAATCCAATAGTTATCAGTGCTATGCTCTGAAGAGCATTAAAACAGCATAAGCAAAGACATGAGATTTCATGATAATCCCCAAACCTATATCATAAATATCTAACTCAAAAATCAGAGACAAATTAGCTAACATTCTATCCTTTCTCTAACAAGCCTCCTGAAACAAAGATAAGGAACTGACGAATTAGAATGTGTTAAAATGTAAGCAACCCACCATATTAAAATACCTCATATTCTGGGTATTTCTACCATCACTTTTAAAAATCACTGATATATATTAAGACTTTTGGAACTGACAGGAGAGTAAAACAAACACCAAGGGAGAGAAGGAACAGATCTGACTGATAACATTGTTGGATTCAGCATCCAAAGAACTCAATTACTTTTACAATTCTGTGTTTCTTTTTAAACAATATAATGCTAGCAGGCAAAGAAGATAACATTTTTAAATGGATGCTTAACAGCAGAGTAAAACTATCTGCAGAAACTGTATAATATTAAAAACATCTGAACTTCAGCCAAGCTCCAACCCTCAACAGACAAAAGACTTGAGGTCAAAAGCTGTTAATCCCTTTTGTTGTTTTTTTTTTTTATTAAATATCCTCATTTTCTAAAAATTAGCAACCAGAGCTTGTCAACATTTTTTTTTAAAGTTGATTACTACAAAACCATTGCCAGGTTAAATGTACAAACAATAGTACATCAGAGACACAGTAATAAATGTATAATCAAATGTACTATTATTGATCACAATTTATTTTAAAGTCATGAAAGCCAGCAACAGTCAGGCTGGACAAACACTTGATTGTACCCATGTTTCCATGGGATGTGGACAGCAGCACAGAGTTACAAAATGAGAGCAACACTTACTTCCTTTCCACCTTCCTGGCAAAATTTTTGTTAGATAAGGCAAAGGATAGGCAGCTACTGAATTACCGGTAGTTTGAACCATGCAAGAACAACAACAAATAATAGAGAAATAGGTGTGCAATAAACATCTGATTGCTGAATCTTGGGCTGAAAAAGGGAGAAAAGTTATCATCACAAAAGGTAATGGTTGAAAGGCATTTCAACTCAGAATTTTTAAAAATTAATACAAGAAATAAGCTTTTTAAAAATGTCTTCCTGCTACCTTTATACAGGGTAACACAGTCCAAAGGCAATTTTTTCTTTTCTGTAATTTTTTAGGTTGATACAGAGTGGTCTGCTTTTGCCCTCTTGTTCCACATGAGAGGAAACACACAAAACCACCTAAATATCTTCCTCTATAGCTGTGGATTATAGAAGTGATCAACAAATAACATTTATTTCACACCTAAGCATAAATAGCTAAAATGAAGATTACTGTTCACTTTCCTCTTCCATTATTTCAACTCTGCGAGGCCCATAGAGTAGAACATAAGCTATATGCCAGTCTCCACCACCAGAAAGCCGCAAGATATCCTCTGGTGTCACAATGCTGACCTTATCGTCGTCAAACTTAATCCATTCATCTGAAGAACGAGAAAGGAAAATGAAATTAATAACCATATGCAATTTTTCAGAGTTCCATTTCAAAAAAGGTACTGCATAATTTTAGGCATGGCAATATTTTATCTGTCACACCAACAGTTCTCAAATTGTGGTCCAGAGACTACTAAGGTTCAAGACCATTTCAGGGGTTCCATGAAGGTCACAGCTATTTTCATATCAGTAGTAAAGCATTATCTGCCTTTTCCCCCTCATTCTCTCAAGTGTGCTTTGGAATTTTTCAGAGGCTACACAATGTGATAAAGCAACAGGCTGAATGCAGAAACAGGAGAATTCAGCTGTCTCCTGTTACACCATACAAAGACTAAAAATGTAAATACCATTTCTTGCTAATTTTTTTTGTTTTGGAAAATGTTTTTATTTTTAAAATGTTATTTATGTTAATATGTAATGGGTTTATTCCTATCAGTTTAAAATGAATTTATTTCTCAGCTTTGTTGTTCTTTTGTTGTTGTTCTTTGTTGTTCTTTAAATAATTTCCATTACAAATATTAAGAGAGACAATCCTCATAAATAAAAGGTTTTTGGGGTTCACAATAATTAAGAATGTAAGGGGGTTCTGAGACCAGAATGTCTGAGAACTACTGTGCTATAAAATATACAGTAAACAAACTTTACCTTGTTTCCTCTTCACCCATGATACATAATGACCTGAAGAGCTAGACCTTCCCTGATGCGTTAGCACTGCTTGTAAGTCATAGTATCCACAATTATTGGAGCCAATGTCTATAGAAAGACATAAATCTAGTTATATTAGACAATGTACAGACATTTGCTTGCTCAAGCTAGGTAACAAGCAAGAACAACTCTGAAGTTTAGCCTAGAGAAGTGCTATTCTATTATTAGAATCCAGTAAGATACTACCGTCCAATCAAAGTTAAGGCTTCAAGAAAGAAGTTTTAAGAAGGATGATAACATTCACAGAACTACACGCTAAAAAGTGATTTTTACTGTATGTCATATTAAGTTAATTATACTTCAAGAAACACAACTTTTTTTTAAGCGTGATATCTGAACAAACATGGAAAGACAGCAATTTTACCTTTAAAAAAAAACAACAACTCAATTGAAATGAAGATTTCACTTACCATCAGCAAAAGAAAACGGTTCATACTTAACTTCTTTCTGGGGACTACTCTTTTTGTCGCTCTGAGGGCAAAACATATTTAACTTTAAATCATGGTATTGGAATAAAATTTGTATGCTCAATCTGCATTCATTTCCACAATTATTTACTGTCTACAGTGCAAAGCACCAAGACAAAATATGGTCTATCTTATAATTTAATAAAATGATATAGCTACAAATTAACATAAAACTGTAAACCCAAAGGTGCTACCCTTTAATAATATACAAAGTATATAGTAACAGACCCTCTGATTGTAAGAACCAATTTTAAATCACTAAAGCTAGAGTATACCAGCAAATATAGCAGTATAGATGAATAATGCTCTAGGGTAGAAAAGGAAAACCCAATTCTATAATTTTACCAAAGTACTATCAAAACACATAGGTGAAAAAAAAAGATGCCTCAAAAAAATTAAAAAAAAGGGAAGGCGAATTAGTACAATTACTATTAAATCTACTAAGCCATGGCCACCTGCCATTTCAGCCCAAATGAACCGAAGTCTTTAATTCAGTAAATATTTACCTATATTAAAACAAGCGTGATTTAATACTTTAGACAAGGATTTTTAGGGAGAACTCCCTGCCTCAACCAATTTCAGTGTGTAATACAAAAAAATTAAGCAACTTATCTAGGCACGTGGGGACAAAGTTCTTGAAAACTATAATGGCACTGAAGACAATGCAAGCAGTTTAAAGATAGCTGGAGTGACAAGATGACAAAGGATGCTACAACAAAAAATAGCAACTAGGTCAACCAATCATTTTTATATATATAGTGTAATACCTAGAGCAACCACAAAAACAAGCTATCCAAAGAAATACATTTGAAAACAATACA